TTTTTATGGCAACATCCAACAGGTCATAACTTACATAGTCAAACTTCTCGGCCTTGTTGACACCTGGCTGTAGAGAATGAGAAACACAACAGTACAATTTACCAACCGAATACTTTTGCGTATTCTAGCTTGTATTGAAGAACTCTGGGAACCTAGAAAACACAAGTCACATACACCTAGTGTAAAGGGAACTTTTAATAGACTGGATTCAGTCCAGACCAGTAATACTCCTGCTCATAGCTTCACAAGGTCAGTCTGCTACACGTGTAACAGATGCACTGGGTCTGTCCACACAGAGCTGAATTCTGGGTCAAAGGTTTGTTAGATCAAATTAAATCTTGGCCCAGTCCACATGTCAATACACGTGCATATATCAGTGCTTATTAGGGAGTCGTGCAGAGTTGATTATCAGAAAACAAGCAAATACTGTTAACGCAAACCAACTTGACACCAAACTCAAATTCACCAGAAAATATTTATATACAAATTCCCAGAAAAAAAAAAAAAATTGTATTTGTTTACCTTAATAAGTGAACTGATGACAATTGCTCCAGCATTGACCATGGGATTGTGAGGTTTATCTAAGAACAGAAAAACAGCATCAGTTCATTTAATGATTTAAATTAAATTAAAATAAATTATTATTAATTTTTAAGTCATTATTGCTTTTTAAATATATTAGAATGATACATTTATTTAGATTTTTTTTCCTAATGAGATTATTGCCAGTACAGAAACGTTCTGTCTGATAAGATATTCTACACAACTCGTTTGATAATGATAATCTATGACATTTTCCCACCCACCTTCTTCATCCAGGGAGAGTTTGTTGAATTTGAATCCACTGGGCTCCTTCCCAACGTAGTGGTGCACACGCTCTGTGCCGTGTTCGTGTACAGCGATGGCATATTCCAGCGGCTTCACGCACGACTGCAAGCAGAACGGCACCTTTGTGTCTCCCACTGAGTGTCTGAATTCCAAGAGGTGATTTAAAAACCATCACTGCATATTTTAGAAAAGCTGAGGTCAGATTTATCTATTTACCTTTGTCCATCCACTGTGCAGAGAGAGACGCCCCAAAGATCAGGACTAAACTTGGTCAGATGGGGAATGTATTTT